CATTTTATCATGCTTGGTGGACTTGTAAAAAAGCCAGAAATTTCTGGGTTCAAATACATATAATGATATAAAGAATTTTAAAGATCAATATTCAACTGATACCAGAACTTTTCTTGCTGGGATTAATGGACAGTCAATTAGAAAAGAGCCATGGAGGATTATTTTTATGTATAATTACTGCTGCAAGACTCTTATATGTCCAAAAATGGAAAGATTCTGAAATATCCACAGGAATGGTTGGTGAAGATGACAGAACTAGTAGAGATGGCAAAATTGACTTGTTTGATTACAGAAAGATCAACAACTACATTTATCAGTAACTGGAAACCCTTATGGACTTTTTGCTGAAAAAAGAGAAAAATGAACTTGTGATTTAGGGGTTTGAAGATTAGAAAGGAAGCTTATGAAAGAAGGAAATTATGAAGTAACCTTAGAGAGAGAGACAGGGTAAAATATAAATGCATTTATAACCACTGTCAAAAAGATCGGAAACAGCTTCTTTATAATCTTTTCTACTTCTATTTTTATTTTCTTTCTTACTTATTCACTATTCTTCCTTATTTCTTTGTTTCTTTTCTAATATTTGTATTGTTTTTATCTTGTTAACAATTTCTTCAATAAAAATTATATTTAAAAAAAATGGAAACCAAGGTTGTGTCAAGGGCTCACCAAGGGTGGTGCTTGTAGACTGACCCATCCACGCCCACTGTAATCTTCAGAGTCTCCTCATTCCTGCTGTCCCGCATGCGGTTGATAACCCCAGCCAGCCCAGCTGAACACATCTGCGCAGCCCGTGTGGAGACGCTCTCACACGCCATCCGAACAATGTCACAGTCCATGACAGAGGGCAATAGCTCAAAAGAGGTCAGAATATTGTAAATCTGCTTGTGGTCGCCAGGATCACTGGAAACAAAATGGAAAGATAAGAGAGTCTCGTGGCACCATAATGACAAGTTAACTTTATTCTAACCAAAGCTCTCCTGGATCGTGTCTATCTGATGGATATAGCCAAGGCCTGTGAGAGAGATTTTATAAATATCTCCAGTTGTAGGAGGGGAAATAGGAAGAAGATTGTCAGGACCGTACTGAAGATCAGGAGAAAAGCAAAATGGCTAGGTGATGATTGTAAAGAGAGCTGTGCAAAAAGGTTTGCGGTTGAAGCAGTCCATGTGAGGGTTGATTTCCAGCATAGCTGGAATGGCCATTGTGAAATTGGAATAGGACATTATGAAGACAAAGTATTCTGATCTCAGATTGTTTTGCATCCCTCTAAAAGTAAAACCTCTGGGTCAAGCTCACTCCTTGGCAGTTTTATGGACACATCCATGTAATTTTCTTAGTAACACTGTGCTGATGGTTTGTCATTGCTTTCTGACCAATTTTTTTTTTTTTTGGCTTTCCAGTTTAGCCTACTGCCTGGGGACTTCTAGGGGGAGTCTATGTCTGGCGTTCCTTGTTTTTTTGGAAATCTGCAGGAAGCCTAGCACACCCCTGGAAAGCAGAAAATCTATTACTGTATGAATAAATCATAACGACCTCTCCCTTCTCTGGCCATAGAATGGATGGTCATTTATAGCCATTCATGAAATGAAGATGTCATGAACAGTTCAGTGAAAATCCATCAAGCCTTGATGGAAAGTCTGAACTAGAAAGCCACAGCTAATCTTGACTTGTTATTCATCACAGCTGATTAATATAAGACTACAGGTAGTCCCCGGGTTAAGAATGCCCAGTTTAAGGATGACCCATTGTTAAGAATGGACTCTATTGTAGCAAAATTCGAGTTCAATATATAATGGTTCGAGTTCATTACACAATACTACTTATACCACTGTTTCTCGACCTTGACAACTTTAAGATGTGTGGACTTCAACTCCCAGAATTCCCCAACTAGCATCTTAAAGTTGCCAAGGCTGAGAAACACTGACTAATACAGTATTATACAATAATACAGTTCCGGCTTAAGTACAAATTTGACTTAAGGACAGACCTTGGGAACAGAACTCGTTCTTAAATTGGGGACTACCTGTATATAATATTTGCAGATAGCAGATTGATGAGGATGAGACACTACCATTTTTATACTTTTTGGCAGACAGATTACAACCACTTTAGAAAAGCCTACAGTACTTTAAATTCACTCCATAGGATAGATTTCATACAGATCAGCACCTTCTTTTTTGAGAACCAAATTATTCATAATATGAAACATAAAACTAAAAACAGAATAAAACTACTGCAGAAGAATGGATAAAATAAACAAAAGAACAAATAACTAAAATGCCTGGTCTGTTGTGAGTGGTGGGAGAATGGGGAGGAATCTCCAGTCTGGAACGCAATATTGTCTTGCAGGGCATTCCAAAAACTGGTCAGCAAAACAAGCTTACCCCTTATTTCCACCGAATACTATTAGCAAGGCACCCAACAGCCCTCTCCTGACGATTCAAAACTGCCAAAAGTTAACTTTACATTGACTACCTTTCAATTTGCGAGATGAAACGACTTTCAAATGATCCCCTGGTTTTCAGCTTTTCTGAAGCTTCTCCACTGAAGAGTAAATTTTCATTGACAAGTTTTAGCAGCACTAGTCGTACGATCTCCCCCATGTATTTCCCACCTATGATCTTCTCATACCTGGAGAAAGGAAGGTACGGTTTAGTCACATACAGGAGAAACTCGGTGCAGATAGGTAGGAAAAAAGAGACAGGCCCATCAACACCCACAAGGCATAAAGGTCATTTATATATGTATAATGGGGGAGGTTAGGTGTGTTAGTGTGTTAGATGAAGTCACTGCAGCTTGTTTTAACAAAATCCAGTCACATATCAAGATTGATTGCCTAACAACGGAGGTTGTTTTCTCTGAACAGAAGGAAAAATAACCATTTTTCCTCTTTGCTTGACTTGGCTTTTTTTTTCCAGCAACCAATGTGTGCACAGGTCATTTGTGCCAGAGTTCAGATCTCAGATCCATGATGTTTTCAATATTAGAAGTTTTCTGCAAGTCCAGTTTGTTGCTGTGAAGCCAAGAAAGGAAACCCATGAATGTTATTACCTCTATTCTAAGGCAGCTTTACCCAATTTGGGCATCCTTTTGATGTGTGGACATCAACTCCCAAATATCTCAGCCAACATGGCCATTACTGAGAATTCTGGGAGTTGAAGTTCACACATCTGGAAGCTACCCAGGTTGAAAAACTCTGCTCTAAAGCAATTTTCCCAAACCAATGCTGTCCAGAATTTTGTGGCCAAATATCCTAGAACTCCTAGCCCAACATATTTTAAGGTGGCTAGGTTATGGAAGGTTTATCTAAGGAAAGTGTGGGCTATATATAGCCCAAAGAATGTCATGTGATGCTTGGACTTATTAAAAAGTCTTCTGCAAAGGATCAGTCCAGATTTTGATAAGAGCTCCCTGGTCCTTCCCTGGCAATCTGCTGTTTGGGAGAGGGGAAGAAAAGGATGCAGGACAAAAGAAAAGAGCAAGAGGAAAGGAGGGTTGGCAGAAAGAGAGAGAACAAGTGTCCCCACCCATCTCTGGCTTAAGCCCTATTCACTGCTGCATGTGACCCCCAACAGATTACTTATAAAGCAAAGCAGCTTTCAACAGACAAAGACTGCCCACCCTTGCTCTAACCTTAGAAATGCATAATTGGTTTTAGTCTCTAGTCCAAGGTTTCTCAACCTTGGCAACTTTAAGATGCGTGGACTTTAACTTCCAGAATTTCCCAGCTGTGGAGAAGAATGATATCACAAGTAATTGCCCTGTGATAATCCCAAATTCATGACTTGGGCCTAGATGATACAGTGAGATCAAAGCTTTAATGCCAGCTTTAGTGCCTTGTCCCTGTTCCCCTGATCACCAGAGAAAAGTATGAAGCTCGGGGCAGCAATAAACAATTAGGTTAACTTTATCTGTCATATTCCTTACAGCTGCTGACCGGGGTTAAGGGAGGTTTCATCCACCACACGATCGTACTCCAAGAGGAATTCGTCTAACTCTCCTGACTCCCCAAAAGCCCCCCATTCGGTGTTCACACACATCCGTCCTTCATCTCCTTCCACCAGTTCCACATTCTCCATCTCCTCCATGTAGCAAGCATTGCAACCTGTGCCTAAGAGAAGGGAAGGCAAAGAGATTCCCCCAGTCAGCCACAACCCTTGACATATCTTTATTATCCTTGTCCATTTTGACCTTTTTGGAAGCAGACATTTTACCCCAGGTCCAACCAATCTCAGTGCATTGCTACAGGCATGTATAAAGGCTAATGTAAGATGAGATACTGAAGATTATGTGAACACATACTGACAGCAGTGTAGAATTTATAACTACGCAGAAGGAAATTGTGCAGAGTGCTTCTGGCTCCTATGTTGTAAAATGCCTGTGTGTCCTTACTTAGCATTTAATCGTGAAGCAGAGTCATTACTGTTGTCGATGGACCTAATATATATTTAGAATGTCAGAAAGCGCTTCGGTGCTGTTAAAAAGTACTGCTTGACAATGTCCACTTGGTATATAATGGCTCTTCCCAGAATAGTCACATCATAATAATAGTCACATAAGAATTTGGCCATATTGAGCACCTGAGCTAAAAAAGCAAAACAAAACACAAATTTCCAGGCAACCTACTATTTGTACTACAAATAGTATTACTCATCTTCAGATAAATGGAGCAGAACTCTTGCCTCCCTTTGTAGTTCTTTAGCATCTACCCATTACAGGAAAAAGTCTGTTTATTCTGTTCCCATTGTGTCCTTTCAAAAATCTAACAGGAACAACAAAGAACTCATACATCTATCAATGGGTAAGGTTCATTGACTGTACAGAATGAATCAGCAGTAGGTCTGCAGATGGAGCCATTTGCAAAGATGTACTAACTGTGTCCAGCTTATTAGAAGCTATAGCTCTGGGCTAGGACCATAACTCAAAATGGCAAACTCCATGGTTTTCTACAATATCCATACAAACATCTGTAGTCAGAACTTGTTGGAGAACTATTGGTCCAACAAATCTCGTCACTGGCTGGAAGTGCTGGGAACTGAACTTTCAGTAACATCTAGAGAAGGACAAATTCCTTACCGTGGAATTATAAGAATCAGGTAATTGGATAGGAGGAGAATTGTCCCCAAACAGAATAGACCACCTTTCCTCAAACTGCTGCCTTCCAGACTTGTCTGAATATAATTCCCATTATCCCCAGTCAATACATTTTATGGGCATGCTGACTAAGAATAATAGAGGCCACCAAGATAACATCAGGTTAGGTAGGTTTAAGGTAGCTTCCCTATAAACCAGGATCAGTATAAATCAGCAAGAATGAGTTGCTCAGGTTGCAATGGTTGTGCCCAGGGGGGAGTATATAAATTGGTAGGTCCGCTTACCCACAATCATGCCAACTTCACATCTGTGATCTTCATAATAGCAGGATATCATTGTTGCTACTGTGTCGTTGACCATTGCAACTACATCCATCTCAAAATCCTGCGGTGGGTTGAGAAAAGCATTGTGACCTTTAGGGCTTCTCAGAAAATAACCTAGCTGATAAGGGCAACATATGTGGAATGACTACCTACTAGAATTTTATAGTCAAATAATTCCTGGGGTGTTGGAAGGCAGAGACAGAGATGTGGGGTGTTGTCTCTGAAATTGGCTAAGGAGATTGAGGTAACCTTCTCTGGTGTTTTCCTAACATTCTGCACAAAACCAAAATATAATTTGTCACACCACACCTCAAAATGTCCCTTTTGTTTTCTGTCATTGGGCTTTAAGATGGCCATTCTATCATCATTCTTGCAGATCTGGAATAATGGAAGGGGGAAACAGATTTCCTAACCTTCCCATTTCCCCTTCCTTTCCTCCCACCTATCCTGTGTTGAAAACTAGATTATAAATTCCTTGGAGAAGAGATCTACCTCCTTTCTCTTATTCCAGGAAGGGTTATGCATCTTGATTGTTCTGTATCTACAGAAAGCTGAGACTAATCAGAAAGCAGATGTAATCAAAAGGTGGGCCCTGCCTCCAGTCTCCAAGGCAAGGATTGCTTCTATCCAAATTGTTCCCCTCGCTCTGAGGGTCCTTCATATGGAATAACGGATTCATTTCAGAGGTCTGTGTAGCCATCACATAGATATTGCCATATTTTTAGAGGTTTTGTTGCTCCTTCAGTGATAATGCAGGAAGGATCTAGTTTAACCCTTGACCTCTCCAATTTAAAAATCCTTGTAAACAGTGATACAAAAGGCTTCTGCCTGTCATCTGGGTGTAGGAACCACCCTAAATATTCTGCTGCTAAAAGCAAAGCATAAAGTTGTGCCCATCTAGTTCTTCATCTTACATGACAGTACCTGAGAAATGCAATCTAAGCTTAGGGAGCACAGCACAGGTTAAGTGGTTCCTATAGCTGCCTCCTCCAACATTTTCCTGCAGTTCCTTATCCAAACATCTTAACTTTGCCTCACAGTTCTTTAGAGAGCTGCTGGTGATAGGTTCAATGAGTAAGCTGCCCAATTTGTTAGAAGACAGCTTTTTCTGACCCTGAGAATTAACTGAAAAGATGTAATGCACCAAACATTATCCAATGATGTTCCTCTCACCCCTCTTCGCTTGATAGCGTCTCTCAAAAGCCCCACAATGTTGTTCCCTTCAGCTCCAGATGCTTTAAAGCCTTTTGTCCAATTCAGCAAAATTCCCTACAAATCAGGACATGAAAAGAATCAGACCAAACTTTGCAAAACAAGCACAATTCTGTGGCTGAAATAAACAATATGGGTCAATATATACAATTCAAAAGCTACATGTTGCAAGCAGAGAAAGATCCAGACAGTAATCAGGAAGGCATGCATATGTAGGCAACTAGGTACCAGCAATGGAGAATAATGGCAGATTACTTGATTTTGATAATACTGTACCAGATCTCATGTGAGAACAATGAGATTCTAGAGAAGATCTCACAAGCTCTTCACATTCTTACAGGTCATTTTTAAAATTTATATTTTTTGAGGATTTTACATCACGTAAAAAGCAAATCTAAAGAGAAAGGTAGAAAAGAAAGAAAAAAGAAGAAAAGTGCAATAAAAGAAGAAAAAAGCAAGCAAAAAAACTAAAGCTATGAAATATAATGACTTCCGACCTTCTCTTCAACAGATGCTGTATTAACAAATCTATCCTCTCCCCTCCCACATTCTTATAAAGCAAGAAAGCAGCGGGAGGCCGTTATAATTTTGCAAGATGTCTACAGTCCTACAGTTTTCAGGGGGCAAGCCATTTGGGAAATCATACAATGGTCCATCGGCTAACACAATCTGTCGGTTGCTGAAATATCTATCTGGAAGTTCATGTAGCATGGATCCATTTACACCAGTGGAGCGATACATTCCCCTTGGCAGATTTGCACATTAGCCAAACTCCAATGGAGGTACAGTAGCCAGGTTTTATCCTCTTTAGAGAAGTCTCAATTTAAATATATTACATTAAACATTACTACTCTAAATTAGACTAAATCGAGGTCCAACATATATTTATCTAGGTTTTATGCTGATTTTTCAGGGCTAACACCACCAAAGTGTTTCACCTTGTTTTAAAACGTAAGTAATCCTATAGAGAAATTGATTATCTTCTGAGTGTCCATAGCATGAGGTGACTGGGTTTTGCTTGCTTGTTTGTCTTTTTAACTTGGCAGATTTTCTCCCAAGCTTCAATCTGTCTTGAGCCCTTACTATATTGTCATCATCTGTGGCAGAAGGAACACCACACACTCCAATAGTCTTGGGATGTATGGTTACTAATGATTTACCAACTCAAGTGAGAAAGTCTTGCAGGCAAAAGCAGAGGATCAAAGCAGGGCTCAGATCCCTGGATTCAAATCCCACCTTGTCAATGTCTTCATGTCGAACAGGGAAGGAAAATGTAAAGCCCAGAGGCAGCTTTTTGTGCTTCATCTGGTGTTTGTCCAGGAAGTCAGAGATGCATTCCGAAATATAATCAAAGAGCTGAGGAAGAGACACAAAAATTGTTATTGCCATTTAGTGAATATTTTCTTTCACTTCTTGCAACATGCTTATTCAACAGCTGTCTAACCTAAGTTCTTGGACAAAAAGCAAGACAATATCCTAGGGTGAGAGCAAGACACCCACATCCTTCCAACAGTTGTGCAGGTCTTTGATTATGTGAATACCGAAGTTCAAACACAAAAGACCCCGTGGAAGAGTTCTTTTTAGCACCCTTACGAAACAATATCACAAAGTCAATAACTGTGGAGATTATATCTCCAACTGCCTCCAAGAGCATGACTTCCAGTCATTTCTGGCCTAGACATTGCCATCAGCAGGGGAGCAAATGGTGAAACATACATGGTGACACAAACCATGTGACTTACATATTTGCATCCACATTGGGACTGTACATTTGAATTTACCCTCAGCTAAGTTCATACAATATACCAAACCTACACATGTATTAACAAAATGCAACTGCTACATTCATATACCATTGTACTTTCCTATTGAAGTAGTTAATTAGCTACATACAATGGCTAGGTTTGCATAAGACCTTGACTCACAAATTACCTAACATCATTTTAGCCTAGCCTGTTGTGTTGTGCAAATCCAGCCCACATCTCATTTGGTTGATTTGGCCTGACGATCAACTCACCATTTCAGCGGTTCCTGTCATGGCATCCTCTGGAATGGAGTACATTTGATGTTTTGTCTTCACTTTCCATTGCCCTTCCTCATCATCTCCCACTTTGACCAGCATCACTCGGAAATTGGTACCCCCGAGATCCAAAGATAGGAAATCTCCAACTTCTGTAATCCCAGAGTGTGACACCGTGTCAGTGTATGTCTTTGGAAAACAACCTGGATCAATTGCCTCCAGAAGAACCTCATGACTGACAGGTCAGATTGAGCAGGCATTTAAATAAGATGGTGGTTAATTTTAGCATGCTTCTATTTCTAGCCCCGGACAACAGTTCCAGGATAGTCTTTGGACAATGCAGTGGACATTAACAAATAAGAGACTATTCTAAATTTGCATCTCACACGAAGCATTTTTAATAAGGCAACAAGTACCTGATCCTTCTGGTGTAGACCGCACATATGTGGGCAGCATCTTCACAGAGGCCTCCTCATGTGTCTCCAATTTTAAGCCTCGGTCCATTTCCTTCTGCATCCGACGCATCACCTTCTTCAAGTCCTCTTCCCGTAGCCGGAATTCAGATAGGATCTGCTTCACCTATGAGGAAAGAGACACAAGAAAGAAGATGGACACTGTACTTTGCAAGTGGAAAACTTTGGTTTCTTCTTCTCCCCCTTTTAGCATCTGCATCTGATAAATCATTTTCTCAATCGTGTGCTTTTAAGGGAAAACTATCTTCCAATTCTCACATGGCTACAGGTTTTACAAGGTAATCCACGTCTACTTCTACAACTCTGGCTAGCTTCTCTTGTTGTGAAAATTTTGAAAAGGCTAAATACCCTCTGCTCTAGATTACCTGAAGGACATGGTATCAATGCAATAAATAAATATCTGACAACAAAATATCAAAACCAACAAATTTTCCAACAAGGGAGAAAGTCAGGTTGTGCTTTTTCTGCATTTAAAATTTCATGAGCATTGCAAAAAAAATTCTCTCTCTCTCTTTCGTCTGCTGATGCAAACTTACAACTGCGTCCAAACCTAGAAAATTTACAAGATTGCCAGTCAATGCAAGTGAAAAAGCATTAAGAAAGGAAGACCTCATAAAACACCCAGCTCTAGAACTCCAGTTTGGATGCACAGATTTTTATCTTTGTCCCACTTTCTAGTCCACTTAAATTGGATTATGTAAGTTTACTTATGGAATGGTGGCTAATTATGTAGTGATCACACAGTCAAAATAGCTTGCATTTTCCTCCCACTCTTCTATTTTTAGTTACTGGTTAAGATAAAGGGCATTTTATTGGTCAGCTTGCTCTTTAAAACCTTCAAAGTCTAGCTCTAAATATAAACTGTAAATATTTACACTACTCTTTCAGGATTCCTGAAAGATTTTGAGCAACCAAGAAGACTGGAATGGGATTGGAATAAGATTGCATCATTTATCCTGTGACCTTTCCTGACCTCCTTGATGAGGCAATGATAGGACATGTTTCTAAATCTATGTCTAATAGGGATGTTGATTCAAGTCATAGTACTAATATTATATGGATTTAACTAATAGTTTATATTAGTTGAATAGAATAGTTTATAATGGTTTACTGGTTTATAGGAGTATATGTTCCCTGTAAAGAAATGGTGACTTTGTTTCAGAAGCAAAGGATGTTTGCTCAAGTCTTTCATATCATTGTAAGAACATAGGAGAAGAGTTGCTGGATCAGGCCAACATTTCACACACTCTAGTATCCTGTTTCCAGTCATGATCGGCTAGACATCATTAGAAATCTCAGAAGCAACAGGGCATGGGAAAGCAGCAGGAGCTCACCCATTACTGCTTGTTCCAGCATCTGAGAGAGAGCATCACGTCTGCTGGAGATGGAGAACCTGTGAGAAATTGTCAGCCTTACCAGTAGAGCAGACAGGAAACATGACTAGATAAACTCATTCTACTTTATTGTCAAGCTACATTAACAGAATCTTGCAAGTCTGAAAGTACAATTCTCCCGCAGTCACCTTAACAGTCCAAGAACTTAGGGAGGGTCCCTTCTGAGCGGCTTGCTTTGCCCACTATCCAGCTGCAGGCTGTGCTGTCTCTTATCTGTTCCCTTGGCAGCATCTCTTCACCCCATCTCCCCAGATCTTTCCCACATACCATTACAGAAATAGAAGGCTCTTGCATTAATAGCTTCCAACAAGAATTGGATTCTAAACAGTTACCTAAACAGTTATTGTTATTTTTGGTGGGTTTGCATTTTGTACTAAGTCCACAGTTCCCAAACTATATGCCAGGAAGCCCGAGGGTGCTGCAGCAAACCCACAGGATGCCACAAGATCATGAACTACCAGCTTAAGATTGTTCACAGTTTTGGGCTAGGTGCTCCAGGAAAAAATTACAAAGACACTAAGGGTGCCATGAACCAAAAAGGTTTGGGAACCTCTGCATCAAGTCATTGTTTGGTTAAGCCCAGTTCACAGTGTTCACACAGATCACACTCAGCCATAAATCACAGGGATACATGTAACATGTTAAAGCAAAATCCAGCTTGGAGTAGAGGATTCCATACATTTATAAGACAGTGTATGAAAGAGAAGTTTCCTTTTATCTTCGATTA